GTCACACGTCGTGCACTTACATTTTCGCGGCTAACGGCGTCGGCAATCCATCACACGTGCACGCACGGCATGGACACGAAAATGGACGACTGGGATGACTCCACGTTCCTCCTGGTTTTCATCCTTTTGCAGTGGATGAACCATAGGAACGTTGTGGCGATGGCCGTTGTCCAAGCGGCGTCTGCGGTTCCCACGTCGGTGCCAGGCATGCCCGATGCTCTTCTCCTGCTGGGTGGCGCGGTGATGCACGGCATGTCGTTGACGTCTGCGGTTGCGGCGATGGCAGGTCGGCGTATGGATGAGAGACGACGCGTTTGGGTTTTGCAACGCAGCGGCGGTGTGTGGGAGGATCTCCAACGACTAGGCGGCCGACACGAGAAGGTGTTTCAGCGATTCTGCAGACTCCCCCGACCGTTGTTTTACGAGGTGCTAGCTCGCATCGCTCCTCATATCCAGAGGCAGGAGACGAATTGGAGACAGCCTCTATCGGCAGCTCAGAAATTCGCTTGCGTGCTCATGCGATGGGCGACAGGAGGGTTCTACAGGCAATCGGCACACTCACTTTATATGAGACTTGCAAGTGGCTTGTGCAGCAATGAGGATGTCGTTGATGCTCTCATCAACGAGTACGGCCACCTGCTTCAATTCCCGACTTGCCAAAGTCTTCAAGACACAATTGACGCTTTCGAATGCAAAAGGTTCCCCAGTTGTGTCGGGGCAATCGATTGCACCCACGTTTACATAGAGAAGCCAAGGAACAGGAGGGGAGAGTGTTATTACGATCGGACAGGCCAGTTTTCGGTGGTCGCGCAAGTGGTTTGCGACCACGAATGCCGTATCACTAGTGCATACGTTGGCAGTCCCGGATCAGTTCATGACAGTCTCGTGCTACGAGTCTCCCCTATCTATCGACAAGCACAAGCGGGGACGGGTGTGTTCGCGACTGGGAGTGAAGTCCTGCGCGATGGACGGAGGGTGGGCAGGTACTTCCTTGGTGACGCCGGTTACCCGCAGCTGCCATGGTTGATGACACCGATTGGAGGGAACAACAGGACGCCAGCGGAGCGAGTTTATGACGACTGTCACACGTCAGCGAGGTCTTGCATCGAGCGCACGTTCGGCCGCTTGAAGAAGGTGTGGAGAAGTTTCATGTGGCGACGTATCGCGAACATGAAAACTCTTTGTAAGGAGTTCATGGCAATTTGCATACTCCACAACATCATGGTGGAGTCGAAGGTGGAGATCGATCCGGAGCTATTGTCTGATGATAGCTCCAGTGACGAATGTGATGGTCAGACGACGGCACGCCTCAGACGGCGTGGCACACGAAGACGGCCTTGCGGTCCTCCACAACCTCCAGAGGAAGACGCTGCATGCGCCATGACCTTGGGGAAGGAGTTGAGGGAGAGCCTCATTGGCCATGTCGCACACCATGCGCGTCTGCACGGAGCTCCACGGCCGAACCTGTGGCATCGTTGATGTTCTTCGTGTGTTTCATGTTTTCGAACAATGGAAAACGCGACTATTGACAGGACTTGATTTCGCAAATGACTTTAATCTCTCTCAATCTCTCTCTCTCTCTCTCTCTCTCTCTC